CAATCAGCATCAACGTGACCAGGATATTCGTCATCAGACCGAAAACGATAAAGACAACGTGCGTCGCCGTACCGTATCTCGCCTTGATGACCTCCAGGAACGTGTGGGCATTGGGTGCTCTGCGCTTCAACTCAATCGCGAGGGTAGCAAACAGCAAGATCTGAACGGTCGCGCCGGAAGCATACCAGAACGGTCCGGAAACGCCATACCGGTAGCAGACACCGGATGATTGAAGAAGCGTCGCGGCCCACGTCCACGACGAGACGACTGCGGAACCGACGAGACCAGACTTGACCGTCCTGCCTGCGGTGGTGAACATCTCAGAGGTCTGGAGCTCTCTGTTGTATCGTTTGAGGACATAAGTCGTGGCAATCTGTACCCAAGATTAGCACGTGAACAGGGTTCGCATTGGCATATTGGGGAGGAATACCATGCCAATGGCGAAGAGAAAGCCCACGCCGAGCACGATGCCGTACCCGACGCCCTGCGAGAGAGCTGCTGTCACCATCTTGGGCAGTTCGCGATGCGCCGATGGAATGGTATGGTGTAATTCAGGCAAGCAGATGCACCCTTGGCATAAGGATACCGATGGCTTGGGCCTGGGCTCCTCGACATATATGTATGCGCCCTCCAGCGGATCATCCCAACACTGGCCGACAGCTGGCCGGCGGCAACCTCAATCATGTTGCTTTATCGGAGCTTAAACTACCGGAGCTACCCTTGCTTGCTTCCATGTGCAAGTTGAGACACAAGCACCACGTCCCCCACAGGAGGTAACGGCTCGGTTTCTCCCCGCTGTAAGACGGTCTGGGGGTCGAGGTTGGTGGTGGTGGTGGTGGAGGGTCGAGCACAATCATCCTTTTTTCCTCTTTAAACTTATCATGGTTAGACCGAACCACTGAAGCTACCTCAGAACTTGAGACGGCAAAGTCTGTGTTGGATAAAACGTGACAGGTGCGTCGCCGCAGCATGCAGGGAAGAGATAAGGCCAAAATTCAATCAGTCATAGAAAATGGTGCAGTCTGGTTGCAGATGCCGGGCCATTGATTGGCGGTGGGAGGTGAGAAACCAGAGTGATCTGCAGCCACTCGGGTGCTAGAGGCATGCTTGTTTGGGTAGTATCTGCGTCGACGGGATTGTGATACGGTAAGATGATATCTATCCCACAGCACTAACAGAGGCAGAGGGCCCTTGACAGCTGCAATTTGCTGACGTCTCGACGTGAAGAGATGGCAGCTTCTGGGATGCGGATGGAATGCCATATGGACATAAGTCTGTTGATTCTGGCAAGAGCCACAGGGACGTCCCTGACACACTTGAAGAACATGAAAATATGAACACCGGGGTTGAATGAATGGACTGGGCTGCTAGACCAACCTGCCAGAAGCGAAGCTGCGGGTGCTGACAGCATGGGGTTCGTCAGAAGGAATCATCCCCGCCTCAGCAGACGAATAGATCCATCTGATAGAGAAAATGAACATGTTCCACTAGGAACAAATCCACAGTCACCCGTTCACCCGTTCGGCATGACATCCATGGCGGCCCAAACCCTAGGATCGAACGGCGAAGAGGCGGGACAGGAGGCTGCTGGTAGCGGCCGGCGGCCAGAGAAAAGCTGTAGATAAGACTGCGAGTGCCTCTGTCCCTATCGCCCTCTGATTGAGTCAGTCGATTGGACAGATCTGGGTCCGTTACTGATTGATTGCATCAGAGTTCAAATCGAGGTTGCAAATCGTGCGCTGTTATCGCTGGTGGTTGACAGGGAGAAAGATAAGAATTCGCGATGCGTGTGGATGGCGTGGAGAGACGGAACCCCGGCAAAGCGCACGGGCCATGCCCAATCTACCTCTCCGCCGCGTCGAATGAGCTTAGCTTGTGCGGGCACTTCTTACCCGCATCTCATTTTCATCCCTTCAGCAGTTCGGGGGCGCTTGTCGGCATGAGCTCCGGCATAGAATCTCGAGTCACGGAATCATATGTGCTTACTTTTCCAAAGCTGTCAGCATTTGATAGTAAAGCCTACATGAAATAGACTTCTTCGATTGGACTTCGGGCGCCTGTAAAGATGTCGAGGAAAGTTCTATATTGAAGACCTTTCTCGGCAGTGGTCAGGTCAAGCTTTTGCGAAGACTTTGTCCAAGAAAACCAAGACGAACACCGCCCCGCCGTGGGGATTCGCTGTATTAGTTTGCAAACATGCCTCGATACTGTCTGTCCACCCACCACAACCAGGAGGGCAATGAGAAGTGAAGGTCCATCTGACACGTGCCCTGCCGCTGCAGCGCACCTTAACTGAGAGACTGAGCTTTGCCGATACAGATCTGTGCATTTGATCATCTCAATTGGTCAAATGTGAGCTTTATTTCTCGTCCCACGCGGGGGTTGTGCTTTCTCACGCCAAGCATACTTGACGGCACCTTGCATGGCCCAACGCCCTATCAGAAGCACATTCACGACTTTGAGTGAGAGGTTTTCAAGGGGCTCATATGTGATCTTGATTGAAGGATCATATTAAAGATACCTTGACTCATCTCAGCATATAATTGTTAGTTATCACGACTCGCCGGAAGATACCCCGAATATTTAGATCTCTACACCGGTGAATGGCACGCTGTTGTACGCCACCTCTCAATTGTTCCGGCCGGGCGGATCATACTTCCACGCGGGTGTCCAGATTTGTGCCGTCGGCCTGTAGCCGGATGCAATGACCTGCATACTCGTGGCCGCGGCCAGGCCTTCGGCTCCACGTCTCACCTGCCAGGATCGACGTTATCCAGATCTTGCGGGCGCAGGCATGCTTCCCGGTACTCCATATGAGAGTGCCCTTTACCCAGACTCCCACTTGGATGTGACTCTGCCCCAGATGCGGTCGCCGACGGCCATCAGGCTCATCGACGGGCCGGAGACTGGACCCGACTATCACAGCGAGACCAATCATCGATAGCATTCAGGCACGCGCACGCGACTCAGTCGAGGCACACATGCGTTGATTCGTTCTGCATGGCCTCAACCGGTAGCCTCATCGGGGGTTTCACTACCAAGATCCAAGTGAATCACTACATGTTCGCTCCAAGAAGCTATTTCATCAGATTAGCTGGCAAGCTGTATTCTTTGCGAGCATGCCCTCATACGAGGCGGTGAAATATAGGTATTCTGATGGCTGATGATGGCTCACTACAACAGGACATTTCTCTGTTGATCTCAAACAAATCTTCCCATCTCAACATGGGTTCACTCATTTTCCATCATAACCTCAGACGATACGATAGGCGCTGCTCAAAAATCAGTATCTGATGAGAACAACTGAAGGGATGAAACTCACTCAATGATAAGTTCGCCTTTACTCCATGCTCCACTCGCAACCCAAAGACCGGCGCCCAACGTCTCGGCATACCTCTCATCCCCCGTCGTCACATGAATTGACATGCGACAGGAGTACTGTCTTGAATCCACATCTTTCTCGGGAGATTTCTGGAGAGAGTTCAAAACATCTGCTGGTCCAGTCAAGAGTCCACTGATTCGCAACTCGAATCTATGGTGATAAAATGGGAATCAGCCCTTATTCTCCTAGCACCGTCCGTAGTTAGAGACAGTAACACATCACGGAACTTACTCCGCGGGTTTCTCATCGTCGGTCCATAGTTTCAAAAGTCCGCCAACCTTGCTTGTCCCTGGTTTTGCGATTGAGGCCTCGTCGACGTAGTAACCTCCGGCCACAACGAAGCCTGATCCAAAAGATCCAGACCACGAGCCACTGGAGACTCTGAACAGCTCTACCTCCTTCGCGTTATCTGGGACAGCAGTGTGGGAGCTGACACTGGCTAGCTGCACGGCTACTCGGAAGCCAAATTCGACAGAGGGCGGTGAGATAGACATGGTCGGATGTGGGAAGTCCCTTGGAGTACTTGCCATATCGTTGTCAGAAACGTTTGAATCTCTGAAAGTTGCATCAGTCAGTCCAAGCCCATGCACAAGCCTAGTCGTCAATCTCATACCGGTTGTCATTGACAACGTACTCTGGCGTTCGTTCTTGAGCGGGAGCCTCTTCGGTCTTCAACTTCTTCTCCTCAGAGTCACCCCATCCCCCATGGTGTCTGGCCAAGTTCCTCTCCGGAATGCGATAGAAGCCCCGGCCGGGGTGGTCAGGGATCCACGCCGGATCCCACGCTAGGTCCTCCGGCTTCAGCTTCGGGGTCGCGATAGGTCCCGAAGGACCCTGGCTGCCTTTCCAAACACCGTGAGAGTAATTGGACGGCCGGTCCTCCTCGCGGCTTATGTCGCTCATCGGCACTCAAATTTCAGATCTTTGCATGAACGGCCGGTGGGATGGTGGATCAGAGGAACAACAACAGGGAGCCGCCGGTGGGAACGCTGTGCAAGAAATCTGGAATCGATGTAAAGACCACACTAATCGAGCGAACTCACGGCCAAAACCGCAGCTGAGAAACGGAGGGATATGTAAAGGGACATTTTAGTGGTGGTTGAAAATGCCCCTGGGCGCTAAAATACATTTTCCTTGTTGGTCCTCTTCGTCAGACGAACCCCGCATAGGCGCCGGCCTGCAAGCGGCACGGAGGGATGCAACCCCAGCATCGGCGCTGTCGGGGGGACTATCACCCCGCCCGCCGCGAATCACGGCCCGATGATGGCGCCACAGCCGGCGGTTGGCGCCTGGCTTTGCCCACAGGGCCCCCGTAGGAATATGGATAACCCGTGAAACATGCGCTGTTGTCAAGTCTCTAGGTATGGTCGGATTAGCAAGCGAGAGGAAGGACTTGTGCCCAGATACACTCACCCTCTTGCTGGCCTTGCAGCGCTCATCTTTCAACCCAGAATGGCATGATTTCATTACTGTTACGTTGATATCAATTCTCTAGGAGTTGCATATTCATGTTATCTGCTCGCAAATAGCGCAAAACAGAATAGGTTTCTTCGAAAGTTCTTTGCGTTCTCTCTGTGAACTATCGTTCATCTAGTCATGACTGGGAGACATCAGGTTATTATTGTCCATAGTAAATTTGCAGTGCCTCTCGAACGGTTAGAGTTGTCATCTCCGGAAAAAGACTGTTAACCCGGCCCTCCGTCGGCAAATCCATCTTACCTTGCGCAACTCTCTTCCCAGAAAGCGCGACCTGTTGCATAACAGTACTCTTACATGCCGATGGAATCTTTCCCTCCCACGCCGGAAGCGGGGTGCAGTTACCCTCTCGCAGCACATCCAGCTTGTCATATTTCTTTTCAAATATCGCACCGCTGGTTTCTTCGGCAATGGCAACAAATTCATTAACCGTCACCCTATCTCCAGCCAGGTAGTACCTGCGCTCCCAGCGAGGGAGACCCAACAGTGCTGCAACGAAGCGCCCGATATCGCGCGAGTGAGTCAACACTATGGGGTGATTCCCGTCACCGGGGATGGCTGCAACGTGGTTGTCAAGGTCGATCCAGCATGGAAGATTGAGTCGAAATGCGAACTCGATGCGTGGCGCGAGCCAGTCGTCCATGAACATTCCGTTCGAGAACTGTGTGTATTCAAGATCAGTCTCCTTTAGACGGTCAACCGCCTTGAACTTCCACGCGTAAGTCGGAATGTCGCGAATGAACCTAGAAGAAGCAACATTAAGATGAGTAGCAGAAAACAAGGAGGAGGGAAGAACAAACTCGTCGTCATAGTTGGCCCCAAACTCGCTAGGCATGAAGCGTTTGGTATGTTGGCATGCAACAGCAGCCTCGATGAGGTTCATTTGAGCCATGCCGCTGGCATCATCAGCGATTGATACGGTCGAGACAACCGTCTGAACCTGATGTGTGTCGAGGACCTTCGTGAGACTTTCGATGCTCGTGTAGTCGACAACGAGTAGTTTGGAATCGTCAGTTTTCTTCCGCCCCAAGATGATGGCATTGTCGACTCCGAGTTTCTCAATGGCATCGAAAATGGCTTTGTCGATGCTGCTTGAGCCACCAGCATTCGCTACTTTGACCATCGCAAAGGTTGTGGTCGCTTGAAGAGGGCTGCTTTACTGCGACCACCGTTGATGAAGGAGTGGCAAATAGTACTGATGGAGTAAAAACGTCAATCAATGGATTTGTGAGGCTTGCGATATATCCATGTTGGTCTCTTAAAGTAATTGGCGAGCTTTGCAAGTGAATAGCCCAAAATCCGCTCTTCGTGCGTAAGTGGAACTCTGGCGGGAATACTAGGCTGGGCTGCAAACTCCGCACATCAAAAGCGGGTTCACCCCAAGTATCACAGCGCGGAGTTCGCGGGATTCCGCATGAAGATCCGACGTACGAATATTACTGGCCAAATTGAGAGACTCATGGATATCTCGGGGTCCTGATTAGATCGCGAAGTCTAACCTGGAAGCATAGTGGAACGATACACTGAAGGACTTCTGCTAGCCAAGTGGGAAGTGTTAGCAAACCGGTCGGATACTAACCCTAGGCTATTGAATCATCATTCTCATTAGGTTCTTATTATCTTGATTACAGTTCGAATCGCATTAGAGGTACCGTTGTTATCATCATTGAAGTTCTCGTAGTCGTTCTCGTCGTTCTCATCGGCTTCATCGTCAGTATCCTGTACCCAAATGGCATACCTCATGAACTTTTACGGTAAGAGAATGCGTGACCCAATACGCCTAGTATGTAGGCATGAACATAAAACATGTTATACTTTATTATTTGTCATGCCCTGAGTCTCAAGAACGCTCACATGCCAGATACTCTCCACACTTCATTAGTACCAAAGTTTTGATTGTTTCATTAATACTTTGTTGGTCCTCCGGAAACTCTACCAAAAGAGATACAAAACACCCCCTAGATAGAACAACTAAAACGCATTAGATCAAATAGCAAAGACACATACAATGGTCACCTACCAAGTTCCCAATAAAACTATCATTCTCCTCTTGACTCTGTCGGAGAAGTCGCTTCTCCCTCTCCTCGGCGGTTTCATGCTTGGTCGATCGATTTTCAACAACGGTAGCCTTTGAATTGAGAATTCCCGATTGATTCAATGGTGCCGACGGATCTTAGACGCATTATGTCTTCGTTCTCATAGTCTTGGTGGATGCATCAAATACCTTGGGTCAAGTCGCTGGCGGTTTCCTCATGCGAATTTCTCGTCATGGTAATACTAAAAACAGGCTGAATTCGGTCGGACGAACGCTTTCGCTTCACGCTGAGCTGAACTTCTAGCGAAAAATCATGAATCTAGTGAAAGCGTCTGAGAATGACCGATGTGCGGTCCGTGAGTGAGAGAGGAGTATGAAGGATCAGATCGGACGGTATTGTAAAAACGTTGTCGATTTGGTCTACGGCCGGATTTGATTGAGGGTTCTGCTTTCGTTCCAGTCTGAGCGGGGTGGGTTCTGTCTTGTATATACTTGCTGTGACCCGTTCTTGCATATTGCCTAATGCATTTGTCGCATCCCTTTATCCAGACAAAAGTGTCAATCCAGCGCAGATAGATGTACCCGCTCATGCATATGCATGGGTTCATATTGCATGTGAAGCGCCCATCAAAAGCTGTTCAGTTCATTGGTTGGAAAGCCGAGTATAGGCACTGGATCCATTTCTTGGTGCTTCCCCAGTCGCGTTCCAACAACCATCATATCTGACAGAATTACGTGTTCATTACACCTGGAGCACAATTGAGACTAGCTTCTGTTGCTTGACTTCCTCTTGGCAAATTTAGCACAAGATAGGGTCGTTCAAAGTGGCCGCCAATGAGGAATCTTTACCACCTCCCACAAATTTGACACTTCGTGGAATGTTACTCAACCACTGGCAACCTTTGGTGACTCCCAATCACGAGATATTCCTACTAACACCACTCGCCGTTCACGATCACATTCCAGTTCGTTGGGTGAAACGCCTGTCCGCCAACCTTCGGGTTGATGAGTGCATTTCCTCTAACGCACTGCCGATTGATAGCGCCTGCACCTGAGGCGATACTAAAGAACGATGCCAGTGTCTTAGTTTGAGGGGCCTGATCATATGAGACTGTTAGTCCAAGCACCAAATATCCGACCAAAAAGGTTACACTTACGTCGTTGCACCACCAGATAGCAGAGTTGAAGGAGCAGCTCACTCGTCCACAATTTCCTGGCCCCGGCCCGTTCGTAGGCTTCCCTGAAAGTCTGGCAAGGTACTCTATTCCCTCATAAATGTGCCATCCGTCCGCTGGTTGCCAACGCCCAAAGCACGAGACACTAAACTCAGTCCAATCGGCCCGCCTGGTAACAGCCCATTCCCCGTCATCGCCCAAAAGCTCGTTGACAGATGCAGCAGCGGCCTCCGGGGTTGCGGAAATGTTGAAATCTTGCTTCCAATCAGGGTTTACCTTTTGCAAGTGGCCTCTGGCCGTTCACTGTGATTGTTACCTGCTTAGAGCGACAGACCTCCTAACTCCGCGCCTCCTGACAATACACACAGCCTTCGGTCACGTGATCGTAACCTGACGACCTCCCAAGTCTCCGACCACGTCCCTCTCCTAACCTCAGCCGCACTTACATGTGCACACAACTTCACCATCTTTAACTTCACTTCAGTAATGATGTAGTTTGTGATTACTTAATTACTTAATTACTAACTACTGAACTATTAACCTATCCTCTCTCTCACACATCACCTGCGCCGCCGTTAAACACCATCCCTATTACTGCTTCGCTATCTGCTATTAGCTATGCTGTCGTCAGTAATATTCTCTCTATTAGTTAGCGTAAAGCGCACTCACTATCTCTACATAAACCTTATATCCTCTTTAGCACCCTTAAGTACCTTAGAGAAGAAGTCCTACTTATTAGGGTAGCTAAAGATATAATTAAACTCTACGTTAATATTATCTAAGGCTTTCTTAGTAAGAGGGATAATATTACTATTTATAGGGGCTTCTAGGAGGCTTATTAATAAAGCTATTAAGATAATATACTTTTAGTTTTCTTTAGATTATTCTTTAAATAGGAGCTTCTTATTAAGTATACTAAGGTTAAACTTATTCTAAATATATTATATATTATTTATAGAGATAAGTATACTACCTAGCTTATACTTAGTGAACTTAAGTACTTTATATAGTATAGATATTATGAAAGATTTATTATAGGTTATAGAGTGAGGAAAAAGAAGAGGGAAAGGTATAAAGCTTTATACGCAGAGCTTTTTATACTTCTAGCTATAAGAACCTCTTATAATAACCTCTTTAGTTAAGGAGTTATCTCTATTTAGTAGCGTTACTAAGCTATAAGAGCCTTAATAACCCCTTTAGCTTTAATATAATCAGCCCCACTATATATAGCGCTACTAGCCCCACGCTATGCAGCTAGCGCTATTACTGTTCCGCCAGTCTATTCAGCTAGAGTATACGTTCGACTTTATAATATTCAGAAGGTTTGCCTACTAGCAGGAATATATAAGGTTTCTATACTATTTTCCTTAATTAGTAGAGGGCATAGGTTAAAGTACTTATATAGTGTTTCTAGAATTATGCCTGCGTATAGGGTGAATTTTGCTGTAGTCTTTTTGCAGGGGGGCTACATTGTAACTATAAACTCAACCTTTTGCAAGTTTTCGACAATCTGCTCGATTGTTCCCTTGAAGATCTCAGTGCGGCCATCGGGGAAGATTTCGACTTCCCATTCAAGGTCTGCCACACCGTAGCCTTCAATGGGCGCTATCTGAGCGATCGCCTACTCATGCGTCAGTCAGATCAAGGAGTCGAGCATTAGTGAGATCTACCTTCGCCCCGAAAAAGGACAGGATTAGGGTCGTGCAGAATATCTTCATCTTGGAGTATCTTGACAGTCGTCAAGTTTGACCGTTGCTGAATGCTGATCGGATTGAAAACAACAAGGAAGATGGGCTTGAGGATGTGTCGCCTGGCAGGAAGAAGCGGTCGACGTTCTCTTTTTGTAATCAAGTTCTGGATGCTTTCCACCGAATAACAATGTTGAATACGGACGATGTCTCGGCACAACTCGAGCATGTTCCGATTACCTCGCAACCCAAGATTCTGTCATTTGGCTTGTGAAATCTAGGCGTTGACTTATCCCTGCATCATAGCTATTGTTGGGCTAACAGACAGGACTTGTTGGTTGGAAGACACAAGTTACGTAAAAGGTTCTACAGACTTCGTCTTATTACAGGTAAATTATCCATACATGTTCTAGGCCCATGTTCTAGGCCACAACAGACTGGCCTCCAAAGAGATAGACTTGGTCAGATAATATCCACTTCTAGTTCAAAGACACCATTCACTATTAGGTTCCCTGTCAAATCTAGCTTCACCATCACGAATACGACAGAGGCATGCGAGCAACTTGGAAGCTTCCAAGAGCTTTTGCACTGCGACCTGCCTTTGCGAGAAGTCTTGGGTTGGTTGGTTGGTACTCAATACGATTTGAGAATGACTCGTCCCGCCGAGACCTGCAGTGACCGCTCCAGCACCAACAACAGTGAGGGCCCTGGTACCATGTCCCCATTGTTATTGAAGTTGGCGAGAGTGTGTCGATACGAAATTAGGAAGGTGAGGGCGGAATGGACATGAGTTGCTTGTGGACTGTAGTGAGAACTCTGTTGGTTCTGTATCACACCTCAGTCAATAGCCCTGTTCCAACGGTTCTCCCCACTTGCATGCCTGCACACTGTGGAGTCAAACATGCATAAAGTGATCGCACTCATTTGCGTTTGCCTTACCTAAAACCCCTATTAGTGCGCAATTTATTACCCCTCCACACTACTTTTGCCTATTTATATATACTAACGCTAAAAACGCATTAATTAATATAAATTATTATATAAATTAATTATTAATAGCTTTAGAAGAGCTTTTTTTTACTAGAATTTATATTCTATCTTTTTTTTTAACTTTATAGAGTTAACTCCTCTTAAGTATATATATTAAAGTATTATAGGAGGCTAAAACTATTACTAAATATATTAATTTAAGGTTTATAATATTATTATTATCTATCTAGCTAAT